GGGACTCGATCCCAGGACTCCAGGATCATGACCTGAGCCGAAGGCAGTCGCTTAACCAACTGAGCCACCCAGGCGCCCCAGAAGTCTTTATTCTTTAGCAATGATGCCCATGACATTAGACTGATACCATGGAGATGATTCATTCAGTCAATAAATATTCATTCAATGCTTACTGCACCCCAGACACTGTACCATGCTCAAAGAATAGAAGAGTATTTAACATAGTACATGGGCAATGTCTTCCCTCAGAGATCTTAGAGTCTAGAGGAGGGGATAAACTAATAATTACAATGCCATAACGGAAAAACACAGGATGCTATGGAAACACATAGTAATACATCTAACCAAGGGGGCAGAGGTAGGAGAAGGGAAAGGGAGCCAGTGAAAAATTTCCTGGAGAAAGTAACATTTAAAAGAGGCTTAAATGCAGGCAAGACAGACTGAAGCATATTTAAGAACTAAAAGAAGTTCTTTATAGCTGAAGCATTCAGACTGACGTGGGTCATAGGAGGCCTTTGTAAGTCATGCTGAGTCAGGATGTGATGTAGGAATTTGTACATATAAAAAAAATCAAACTACTTTAAAACAATCAATTGTATTTCTATATTATCAGCAAAAAGTAGAACATAAAATTTAAACATATTTATAATAGTATAATAAAATATCAAAAAATAGAAATAAATCCAATGAGTCATAGGAAACATTCATGTACTAACAATTAGTTTATTTCAATCATGTTTTGCAAAGAAGATTTAATAAACAAAGGCATATACCATTTTCTTGGGTTGGAAGACTCAATATTGTAAAGATGTCCATTATCCCCAACTGTATTGATAAATATATTAAATGTAGTCCCAATCAAAATACTAGCCAGATTTTCTTTTCTGTGTAGAACCATATGAAAATGCAGAAAGGATAAGAATAAGCCAGTTATTAGTCATGCTAACGGCCAAAGATTCTATTTATATGAAATGTCCAGAACAGGCACAACCATAAAAACAAAAAAGTAGATTTCCATCCTTACTAAGATGAAGAAAGGTGATCTTGAAAAAGAATAACTAAGCAGAAGAACTTTAACAGATATGAAGACCAATTATAACATGAGAGAAATTAAAACAGTGAGATAATGGCAAAGGAACAGGCAAACAGATCCACAGAACAGAGAGTCCTGTAACAGACATGGAAGTACATGGCCACCAGTTTATGACAAAAGTGAACCTGCAGTGCAAGGGAGAAAGGTTTTTAATAAATGGTACTGGGTCAATTGACTATCTGTATGAAAAAAATGAATCTTATCTGACATCATACACAAAAAATCAAAACCTGATGAATTATAAATGTAAAAAGTAAAGTACTTAAAAAAATACAGAATAACACTTTTATGGCATTAAAATCAGCAAATATTCCCTAAACTGGACATAAAAAATCTTAACTATAAAAGGAAAGACTGATAAAATGGAATTTTTGTTCATCTAAGGGTATCATTAAAGAATGAACCAGCAAGGGCGCCTGGGTGGCTCAATCGGTTAAGCGTCTGCCTTTGGCTCAGGTCATGATCCCAGGGTCCTGGGATCGAGTCCCATATTGGGCTCCCAGCTCAGCAGGGAACCTGCTTCTCCCTCTGCCTCTCCCCCTGCTTGTGTTGTCTCTCTCTCTCAAATGAATAAATAAAAATCTTAAAAAAAAAAAAAAGAATGAACTAGCAAGCCACAGAATGGGAGAATACATTTTTAAATGTATATTCAAACGAAGAACCCTTATCTATAATATATAAAGAACAACTGTCCCCCCCCCCACCAATAAAAAAAGCCAGTGGGGGGAGTGAGTGGGGGCAGGTGGGAAGGTCATGGCAGGAAGACTTCAACAGGTACTTCACAAAGGAGTGTATCCCAATCAGCAAGAAACATGAAATAGTGTTCAACTTCATTAGTTTTCAGGGATATCAAAATTAAAACTGCGAGGAGATACTACAACATACCCACTAGAAAGACTAAAATACAAAAGACAGAAAGTTCCAAGTGCCGACAAGGATACAGGATAAGAGATCTGATACACTGCTGGGTGGAGAGGAGGTAAACTGGGCACAAGCGCTTTGGAAACCTTTTCGACACAATCTACTAAAGCTGAAGATATGCCTATCTTGTGACTATGTAATTCTGCTCCAAATCCAACAGAAATGCATAAAAAAAAATCTTCATTAAGAAGCATGCATGAAAAAGTTCATGGAAGCATTATCTAATAGTTCTGAACTAGAAATTACCAAAAGCCAGAATCAATAAATTCATATTTATATTTGCACAATGGAATACTATTGGCAGTAAAAATGAACTAAGACTACAGTACATGCAGGTTAGGATGAAACTTACAAACAAAATATTGAACAGAAGCCAGCACATAAACTGCACATATTATATGATCTAACTTGCATAAAGTTTAAGATGAAGCAAAACCAATTTTGGTGTAATACGTCAAAGTAGTGGTTAGTCTGGTTGGAGATGTCCTAAACAGAAGGGAACATGAGGAAGCTTCTGAGATTCTGGGCTTCTTTTAATGCCCTGTTTCCCAGTGGAGATGCTGCCTGTGTAAGTGTGCTCATTTTGAAATTTTGAAATATAATGTGTGTGTGTGTGTGTGTCTTTGTACACGTTTCTGTATGTATCACCTTCAAAATACTTCCCAATAATTTTTAAAATCATATCAGCATATCTGTACAAAGATGACTATTTGAACCTATGGAGAAAGAAAAAGGAAAACTGAATGTAGAGGTTAGGCTGTTTGTATGGTTATTTTTACTCACCTTTATCCTGTAATGCAATTTGTTGCTTATGCAGTAATGCCACCTCCCGTCCCAAAGCCTTCTTCTGTCTTTCCAGTTCATTTCGAAGCACCAAAATTTTTAATTGCAAGCACTCACTTTGTTTTCTCTAAATAATTAAAAAGCACAGGTAAATTTATGACTATGAAAGTCATGACTATGAATAATTATACATTCACAGTGTCTCCAAATGAATAATGGTGTAAAGCACTTTAATATTCATCTAATTCATAGATCTCTTGAGTAACTTAATTATCAGCACCTGCCATTTTAATGAAAAGAATACAGATGTAAGCAAAGAATAAACCTGAAGTCTGGGGACAGTTCTTTCTAAGAACCCCAAAAACACTATAAAATATCTCAGGCCTCTTTACTGAGATCACAATACAATTAAGACAAAAATTAATTTTTAGAAATGGAGTTCTCAAAAACTTAAACATAGAGATACCACAGGACCCAGCAATTCTACTGCTAGGTACATATCCAAGAGAACTGAAAACATGTCCATACAAAAACCTGAATATGAATTTTCATAACAGCATTATTTATAATAGTCAAATGGTGGAATCAATCCAAATGTCCATCATCTGATGAACAGAAACAAAATGTGGTACATCCATGCAATGGAATATTACCTAGCAATAAAAGAAATGACGTACTGATGAATGCTACAACATGGATGAACCTTGGAAACACTATACTGGGGTGTCTGGGTGACTCAGTCAGTTAAGTGTCTGCCTTTGTCAGGTCATGATCTCAGGGTCCTAGGATCCAGGCCCATGTTGAGTCCCTGGTCAGTGGGGAGTCTGCTTCTCCCTCTCCCTTGGCTGCTTCCCCTGCTTGTGCTCCCTCTCTCTTACTCTCGCTCTCTCAAATAAATAAATAAAATCTTTTAAATAATTAAAGAAAACACTATACTAAGTGAAAGAAGCCAGTTTTAAAAGGCCACAAACTCCATTTATATAGAAATGTCCATATTAGGCAAATCCATAGAAACAAAAAGTAGATTTCCATCCCTGCCAAATTGAACCAACGTGCTCTAATATCCCACAGATTTCAGAGAAAGTCAAGCAGGGACCTAGGGCTTTCACCCCTTCCAGGTGGTAACCAACCATATTATCAGTGGATACCACAAGGGGAGCCTGGATTTACAGGGATAATGAGATAATCCTCTCCCTCCCTGCTGGGTGATATCAGAGGAGGCTTAGTGGAGAGTGAGAACTTTCCTTATTACACAGTGTTAATGAGGCCAGCCTATTCAGCATGCTATCAGTGGAGCACAGTGTTAATGAGGCCAGCCTATTCAGCATGCTATCAGTGGAGGCCATGTGGGGAACAATATCAAAGTATTCCTATACCTCTTAGCCAGGTCAGTAGTAGTGGAGGCCTAGTGGAGAGCTGGAACTCCCAGTCCTGGTCAAAAGTAAGGATGACCTCCTCCCCCACACTCCTGCCACTTGGGTGTCAATGGAAGCTGCTTGAGGAACCTGGACTTTTATACCCACCTGGCAGTAATGAGATAGCATCTCTCTCTTCCCTATCAGAGAAAGAGGTGTCAGAAAAAAACAGATCAAACAGCCTTAAATAAGATCTAGAGACTCATAACATAATACCCAAAATGTATAAGTTTCAATCAAAAATCACTCATCATATCAAGAACCAGAAAGATGTCAAAGTAAATGAAAAAGGATAATTATAAGATGCCAATACTGAGGGGCACCCGGGTGGCTCAGTCGGTTAAGCGTCTGCCTTCAGCTCAGGTCATGATCCCAGGGTCCTGAGATCGAGCCCCACAGCAGGCTCCCTGCTCAGTGGGGAGTCTGCTTCTCCCTCTCCCTCTGCCCCTGCTTGTGCTCTCTCTCAATAAATAAATAAATAAATACATAAATACATAAATAAATAAATAAATAAAATCTTTTTGAAAAAGAGAGAGAGAGATACCAATACTGAGATGACAGACATGTTACAATTATCTGACAAAGACCTGGAAGCAGCTATCATAAAAGTACTTCAATAACAATTAAGAACATCCTTGAAACAAATGAAAAAATAGAACATCTTGGTAAAGAAATAGAAAGTCTCAGTCAAGAAATTGAAGATAGAAAGGAGAATCAAATGGAAATTTTATTTCACTTAGCATAATCCCCTTCAGTTCCAAAAAAAAAAAAAAAGGCAATTTTAGAGCTGAAAATATCTAGAATAAAAAACTTAGTGAATGAGCTCAACAGCAGAATGTAGGAGACAGAGAAAAGAATCTTTAAGCTGGAAAACAGAATAGAAACTACCCAATCTAAACAAGAGAGAGAAAATAGACTGTAAAAAAAAAACAGAGCCTCAGGATCTGTGGAACTATATAAAAAGATCTAATATTTGTATCCTCCAGTACAGGGAGGAAAGAAGAAATAAAGCAGAAGTGAAAAAGTACTCACAGAAATAATGATGAAAAACTTCCTAAATTAGGCAAAGAAATACATCTACAAATTCAAGAAGTTAATCACAAAATAAATAAAACCAAAAGCTGGGTTTTGAAAAGGCCAATAACTTTGATAAAATTCTAGCCAGGCTAACCAAGAAAAAGAAAAAAGACAGAAATTAGTAGTATGAGGAATAAAAGAGGAGCCTTCACAACCGATCCCATGGACATTAAAAGAATAAGAAAAGAATACTATAAACAACTCAATGGCCAAAAATTTGGTAACTTAGATGAAATGGACCAATTCCTTGAAAGACAATCTACTAAAACTCACACTAGGAGAAATAATCTGAAAGGGCATATATATGAAATAATTAAATTAATAACTAATAGCCTTTTAAAATGGAAAGTACCAGGCCCTGATGGTTTCACTGGTAAATTTTACCAAGCATATAAATAAATAACACTAATTCTTTAAACTCTCTTCGATCTAGGAGGCCAGCATCACCCTAATACCAAAATCAAACAAAGACATCACTAGAAAGGAAAAGTACAGACCAATCTCTCATAAACACAGATGCAAATTCATCAACAAAATCAACAAATCAAATCCAACAATATATAAGAAGAATTATACGCCATAGCCAAATGGAATTTACTCCATGTATGCAAGGCAGGTTGAACATTCAGTAATCAATGAAATTCACCATATCCACCAGGCAAAAAAGAAAAGTCATATAATCATATCAATACATGCCAAAAAAGCATATGACAAAATTCAACACCCAATTATGATAAAAACTCTCAGCAAACTAAGAATAAAGGAAAACTTCCTCAACTTGCAAAGAATATTTGCCAGAAAACTCATACATCATACAGATCTTCCTCAACTTATGATGGGGCTATGTCCCAATAAACCCATTATAAGTTAAAAATATTGTAAGTTGAAATACATCTAATACACCTAACCTACTGAACACCACAGCTTAGCCTAGCCTACCTTACATGTGCTCAGAACACTTACATTAATCTACAGTTGGGCAAAATCATCTAACACAAACCCATTTTATAGTAAAGTGCTAAATATGTCATGTAATTTATTGAATACTGTACTGAAAGTGAAAAACAGGATGGTTGCATGGGTACAAAATGGTTATAAGTGTATCAGTTGTTTCCCCTCATGATCACGTGGCTGACTGACAACTGTGGTTTGTTACTGCTGCCAGGCATCATACCATATATTGCTAGCTTGGGAAAAGATCAAAATTCAAAATTTGAAGTATAGTTTCTACTGAATGTGTATCACTTTCATACCATCATAAAGTCAAATCTTATATCGGGGATCGTCTATACTTAATGGTAGGAAACCAGATGCTTTCTCCCTACACTGGAGAAAAAGGCAAGGATATCTCCTTTCACCACTCTATAAAACATGTACTGAAAATCCTAACTATGCAATACAATAAGAAAAGGAAATAAAAACTATCAGACTGGGAAAAAAAGAAATAAAATCATCTTTGTTTATAGATGATTTGATTATATATGTAGAAAATCTCAAAGAATCAACCCCCATCAAAAAACAAAGCAAAATCCAAAGCCTCCTGGAACTAGTAAGTGATTATAGCAATATACAAAAACCCATTTCTTTCTTATGTAACAGCAAGGAACAATTAGAATATGAAATCTAAAATACAACATTACATTAAAATTAAAAAATGAAATACTTAGGTATAAACCTAACAAAATATGTATACAAGACCTAAATGAAGAAAACTGAAAAACTGATGAAAGAAATCAAAGGAGATCCAAATAAATGAATGTCCATATTCATGGACAGGAAGACAATATTATTAAGATACCATTTTTTCCCAATTTAACCTACAGATCCAGTGAAATCCCAGCAAGTTATTTTGTTGATACCAACACACTGATTCTAAAGTTTATATCGGAAGGCAAAAAACCCAGAATAGCTCAATACTGAAAAAGAACAAAGTTAGAAGATTGACACTATCTAATGCTAAAACTTACCATAAAGCTACAATAATCAAGACAGTGTGATATGGACACAAAATAGACAAATCAATGGAACAGAATAGATAGCCCAGAAACACAGAGACACAAAAATATAGTCAACTGATCTTTGTCAAAGGAACAAAAGCAATTCTATGGAAAAGGGAGAGCCTTTACACTAAATGGTGCTATAACTACTGGACAGCTACATACAAACAAAACAAAATGTAACAGAACATTTGGATACAGACCTTACATCTTTCATAAAAATTAACTCAAAATGGATCACAGAACTAATGTGAAATAAAAAAATTATCATATACAGGGTGCCTGGGTGGCTCAGTACATTACGTGTCCGACTCTTGATTTCAGCTCAGGTCATGATCTCAGGGTCATGGGATTGAGCCTGCATCAGGCTTTACATTCAGCCTGGGATCTGCTTGTCCCCTCTCCCTCTGCTCCTCCCCCCTCCCTCTCACTCTCTCAAATAAATAAAATCTTTAAAAAAAATTATACAAATTCTAGAAGATAACACTAGAAAATTTAGGTGACTAAAGTGGAGATGACTTTATATACAACATCAAATGCATGATCATGAAAGAAGAAACTAAGTTGGCCTTCATTAAAATTAAAACTTCTGCTCTGCAAAAACCACTATTAAAAGAATGAAAAGATACGCCACAAAC